GAAAAACCAAAACCATTAAGGCCCTTATTGGTTTTCGGTTGCCAAAAACCAATAAGGACTTTAATGGTTTTGGTTTTGGTTTGGATAACCAAAAACCAACATGTACTCATGCACTCATATTTATACCCATTTCCCTCCTTTTTATTGAATAAACGTCATAATAATGGTCAATGGGCATTACAAATTATTGGTTGGCATGAGTGTCAAAAGAAACAAAAAAAAAATATTTGTTGATAAATAATTTTATTCTTATTGGTTTCTTAATGGTTTTTATTGGTTTTTCGGTTTTAACCAAACCAAACCCATTAAATTGCTTATTGGTTTAAAACCGAAAAACTGAAACCATTAGTTTTCCAATTGGTTTGGTTTCGGTTAAAACCAGAAAACCAAAACCAAATGGACAGCCCTACTAATACTACAACTAAGGTTGAGTATCTAGAATTCCTTATACAAATATCTAGTCTCTATAATTTACTATGGAAATATCTTCATCTAGTTAGCAGAGTATATGACCATATCAAGCAACTTTAACGAAACTCATTAAGAACTTCTCTGTTGCAAACAAATAGTCAAATCCAAACCACAATTAATCAAATGCCATTGGTTGATCTACCATAATGTACATGACAAATCATTTGCATATGGTACATCATTAATGATGTATAATTTCTTCTTCAAAATATAGTAAAGTGAGTATCATTTTATAGATCTCAATAAATCTGGTTTTTCTATGCAAAAGAAGATGAGCCTTTTGAAATTAATGGAAATGAAAGAGTGAGAGTGTGAAATGTAGAGCGCTCTAATTGACTCAAAAATTGATTTAATCGTTTTTTGTTTTTTAAGTTTCAATTCTAATTGAAAAGGTCTAATAAGTTCTTTCTACAATCATTCCCGTGAGAAATTCAAACTATTGAAATAGAGATCCTTAAAATCCCATCATATATTTGGTTGATTTGAGGATTTGTCTTGATTGATAACGCCGGCAGGGACATGAGTGAGATGAGGGCCGTAGAGAAGTCATTGAGCCTCTTTCGGACATTGGGCCATAGTGTTGTCTCCATGGGCCTATCGTGCGTGGGTATGGGCACTCCATCTTTCTGGCCTACTGCAAAACAATTAACCTAGCACCACTGGTAATGGTATCCAATGAAGAAGGAGCGAAATGTGGATTCGATTAATGGAATTCGACCCAAGTGATGCATGACGGAACAGAGACACTTTGCTCGGATGCCATTTTTGTTCAACTAACAATGCAAAGTCCCCTGTTGTGTCGCTAGCACATTGATCAAAGTGGGTGGGGGAGTCGCCTTAAACAGTCAACTTTGTGATTCCATTTTTGAGAAATTGAAGAACATTGACGGAACATTCGCAAGGATCAAGCCGCATAGTCAAGTTCAATATGCTTGATATGATATACTTTATTTGATTTCGACGCAATGTCAACGAATTTTGAGTGATGGTTGACGAATTGTAATGAATTCATTTATATTTGCAATGAGCCTAGCTAAATAGCCTATAACCATGCAAACTAACAAAATCTGAGCGAGTTACCAAGTTCAAGTTTGGAGAGAGTTTGCTTCTCCCCTCAGCAACCGCAAAATTTAATACCGGTTAACACTTAGTTTCAATAAGTCGAGTTGTTGGAAAAAAAGGGTTTGTTAAGTTTTTATTTCTTACGCTTCCCTCCAAACGAAAGCTTACCTTTTTTTTTATTCTTGCAATTTGCACTCGTTGAACATATCATCCCTTGTGCTGCTAAACCATTAGGCTTTCAGTTTGCACGAATTTGTCATATCATCACTTGTGCTAAAGCATTATTTATATTGAGGTCGTCGTAAGAATTCAAAACTATGACCTCTTAGTCGAAACTTCTGATAACATATTAACGAAGAAACCACTTATTTATTATGTTGTTATCTCTTAGAATGCTACATGAGTGTTTGTTTCACCACAGAAAAGATAATCGAAGTAATGTAGATCATAATGATAACAGAAAACTACCACATGATCAGGGATCCGCAGAGTATGTAGAAATGAGATTATAGCAAGCAAGCCTAGGTAATAGATATTATTGAAGATCACGTGATGAGGTGGTAAGGCAATGAAGAAGAAGAAGAAGAAGAAGGGCATGCATGTCTGGACATGGGAACACAATGATGGTGATCACGATGATGATATGAATGAAACATGGCTAGATAGCGAGCTACAAAGGAAAGTACTTCTAAGATCATGAACAAGGATGCCAAACTGTTGATGATAGTAAATGGACGAATGGATGATGATGATGATGGAGCATAATGGGACTGAAAAGGTAATTTAGACTTCCGAGGGCAGAAAAAGAAGAGAAAGAATTAAAAGGATGCGAAGAAGAGAATGTGACAAGTGGGGATGGTTGTAGAATTTGTATAAAGTCATCATTGATACAAAGAAGCAGCAGCTAGGGGACAGAAATTAAAAGAGAGAGTAAAATGGAAGCTTTCTTTATTCCTCTCTTTTTAACTCACCACTATACACTACAACCTATCCAATAATATTCATTTCCAATTTCCCATATGGTCTAAGGCTCCTTTTCTTCCTTACTACTAAATTACTAATTACTAATTACTAGAGTAGTTGTCATTTTACTTTCTCTCATCGTGTATTCTGACTTAGTGACTTTTACTACTCTCTACACTCTTTGTTACACATAACACAATTGGATTGGATTTTGGATCCATGTATTGGTGTATCCATGTGGATTAAGTGGATTCATGGATTGAATCAAATGGATTAGTGTATTGATCCACGAATCCAAATGATATCCAAGGGTTGGACCAATATGTAAAATTTGAAAAGTTTGGATACTAAAATGTCATAGTAAAATTTTTTAGGTATCAAACGTAATTTTCAATGATATTTTTATATAAAAAATTAACTTTTGGGATCCAAAATGTAAAATATAAAAAGTGTAGGTATTAAACCATAATTTGCCAATAGGATCCATGGATAAATACATGAATCTACAAATCCAATTGAATTTGGATAAAATGGATTGAATTTAAATAGATTAGATTAATTGAATTAGAGTAAATTGAATTAAAAATTGCCACCTCTACCTTGTTTTGTTTGGCCCGGCTACTTTCTATTCTTCTTTTTCACCTCCTCTTCTTTAGTTTCATAAATTTCAAGCCCAAAGACACCTAATATGAACTTTGAAATGCTTTTGATTTACTGTTCATATCTTTGGTTTGCTGAGATACTTGTAACGATATTTATCAAGAAAAGGATTAAAAGATTCTTTTGCTGTTAGATTGTTTCACGACAAAAAAAAAAATAAAATTGTCTTCCATTTCGTAACCAATTGAAGAAGTTTTTTTTGTTGTTGTAAAATAACCAATTAAAGAACTAGCAATGTACTATGTCTATTAGACTATTTCAGTGTGCGTGTGTATATTTTTGTTGTTCGATTCTCAGAAGTAGTGACCAATTATAGTAGGGATAGTTTTATGTCGGGACAAGCAATCCAGTAAGCTTTTTTGTTAAGGGGGCGAGGATTGCTTTTACATATTCTAACCATGTTAGTAAATTGAAAGACTCCACACATAAATGTAAATGTCGTTGACCATATCCATAAACACAAACAAAAAGGGATAAGAAAGATTTTGAGTTTTTGACAAATACCTCATAGTCAACCCGAACGCACATTGAACATTGTATTCATGAACCAATTTAGATAAAATGCTTAACCTTACTTAACTATGGTCGAGTGTGACAAAGCAAGAAACATAAATATGGGCAAGGCTCCATAGGCCAGTTATATACTTTTGACTACTTTTTCATCATGTCAAGTGTAGACGCCATAATGGAACTTTCGTAAAGAAAAGATATTGGTTATGGAGTCACACGCATGGGATCATAGTTTAATTAAACCTTACAAACGTGTCGTTGCACTTTACAGTACCCTTAATTTATTGTACCTAGATTTACGTGTGTGTAACTTGATTTAATGTAGTGCATGTCCTTATGCTAACTTCTGCTTTCTATTTTTTATATTGAAGGACTAAACCCGAGTTGTAACTTCAAAACCTAGGACTTGGAGACTGTAAATTTCTTTTTCCTGTTTTCTTTTCTTTTAGTTAATGATAAGGAGGAAAATCGGACCAATGAATTTAGGATTCGAGGTGGAACTATAAGAAATTGGTTGAGTGAAAAGAAGTCATCAACCAGACATATGCAAAGAAAGATGATTGAGTGAAGCATTCGGTTTCGCCATCTAATGCTTAATCGGACAAGAAAACAAAAAAGAAACAAAGAACAAAGGTAAGAACGTACAAAGAGAATCAGTTGTAGGGAAAGAAAAATTAGTTGCCCCTTTTGGGGACTTGAGGTGTGGTATTTATATGATATTGAGGAGCATGGCAGGATTTTGAAGTGATTGTGCTTAAGTTAGGATCGTTAATATGATCAAATGACATGCATCCTTTCTCCTTAAGATCTAGCGTTGCTAACTTATACAATGAAAATTGTTCATTTTGTCAACAGGGTCCTTCGACGCGATTAGGTTCCATGGATCTATTAGTCGATTTGGGATTAGGAATTGAGAAAAACGAATTTTGGGAAAAGAGGGAAAACAGAGAAGGAAGAAGATGACAGAATAGAGATGGGTTTATGTTTTCCTTCGTTAGAAACTTTGGGCTCAACCTCACAAAAGCCCAACAGACAAATAGAGTAAAGAAGTGAGGAACACTCCTTGATCGTCCTTCTACACCCAGAAGTCAAACAGAGAGCAGAGAAGAAATTAAAGAGCAAGAAGACAGACGGACTTTTTAACATGGTTCACCCAACAATGGCTACGTCCACGTCCCGACAATGGTCAACACCACTACCAAGAGACACTTTTATTATTTTGATATGAGACTTTAGATCACAGTAGTAAAAGATGAATAACATACACAGAACAATAAACCAGAGTTTAACACTAACTCTGCCTACAACCACTCTCACAGATCATCTACCCCTAGAGATGAAATTCCCTTTTACTTAAGAACAAGCCTAGTACCACCTTTCTTGTCTGTAAAAGTTGCACTGAAGCTCCAATTGAATTGACAATATATAGCCTCCTTCAATTAGTCGTTGGAAGAAGTACTCGTTGTAGCAGAATTGATTGAGTTTCCCAAAATGAACTTCCTTCCTTGACTGGTCAATTGCCAGCTCTGATCTCGCCCAACAATCTCCCCCTAGATTAGAGCTTGCAAATGATACTGAACCTGCAGATAAAAATCTTCGATAGAAGGAACCATACACCAACCAAAACTACTGTTCATAGCAATCAGACAACAAACCAACCAATGAAGTCTTAAAAAAACATCCAACAATCCAAAATGCAACCAATCATCCACAGCAAAACACCTAAAAAATTTTAAGTGCGGTCCACAAAGCACAAATAACTCCCCCTAAAACAATGACTCCTCCTTAGTCAAAGAAAATCATCCATCATAAGAACCGAAATCATCTGAGCTATAGTCCACTAGTCCACCAACCAGTCCTCCAGGCATTACTGCAGCAGCAGCAATGTGAAAGCCTTCTTCAGCGTATGCTAGAGCCACAACAAATTGAACAAGTGCAGCATCATCTTCGAAGTTCTCCTCTGCTGCATCTTCCAAGTTTTCCCTTGCTGCATCTCCTTCGGGATCCTCTTCAGGGTTGTCATCCAATGCAATGTCATCAGCCATCTCCCCCTCGTTTGCAAGCTCCAGATCATCAAGGACGGCTCTTACATGCCCCATTATGTCACATTTATAACATCCTTGAGGCTCACGATCAGATGCTCCAACCTGCATATCTCTACCCTGCGAGGCAAATCTTTCAAAAGTAGCATTCTTAGTTCTTCCAGGATTAGAAATGATCCTCCCAATATCACTGTTTCGTTGAACGAACTCATTATGCTTGAAATATTGATCAGGAAAGCGATTATTTGACTCTGAGTAACGACTAGTTGACCCAGGAAATCAAGTATTCGAATCTAAGAATCGGTTTTGAGACTCATAACGACCTCTATTATCAGTAGCACGCTGCCTTTGGTCATTTTTGTGTTTCCTCGTGCGATGAAACTTCTTACTGACCAAAGCAAGTTCTCTTTCAAAATCGGAATCAACTTCATTTTCAGACTCATATTCATAAACACGACTCTTAAAGGCAAGATTTTTTTTGCGTCTTTCATCCTCATTTCCTACTTGCTTAATGACATGTTCATGACTAGGAAGGGATCCAACTAATTCATCTACAGACTTGGTGTTAAGATTTATGGCTTCTTCAATGGCAGTCCGTTTAGGTAGCCATTCCTTAGTTAAGGATCGAAGAATCTTCCTAACCATATCCTTTGAAGGAATGATTCTGCCTAGACCCTTCAGTTTGTTAGTCAGTCTAGTGAATCTGGAATACATATCATGAATGCCTTCATTCGCTAACATATCAAAGGTCTCGTATTCATGCATCAATAAATCTATACGAGTTTCCTTGATATTTGACGTACCTTCATATGTAGCTTCGAGAATGGACCAGATTTCATTCGCGGTTTCGCATTGCTCTACCTTGTCAATCTCATCAGGCGAAATGGCGGTTTGCAGAATATGCATAGCTCGGCAATTGAGCTGTGCACTCTTCTTATGCAAATCAGTCCATTCGTCTTGATGATCCAGATCCATTTCTACAGTCCCATCCCTGACAATGACCCAGAGATCTGCGTCAATCCCCCACATGAAAGTTTTCATCCGTTTCTTCCGGACATTATAATTTGCTCTTGTGAACCAAGGAGGATTGTGGTGCGGCGCAGGACCGAATGCAGCAGGAGAATTTGTTCCCATTAATCGTTACCTTTGGCAGTAGTTAGCTCTTTAAAGGAAGGCTCTGATACCACTTGTTAGCCGATTTAGGATTAGGGATTGAGAAAAACTAATTTTGGGAAAAGAGGGAAAACATATAAGGAAGAAGACGACATAATAGAGATAGGCTTATGTTCTCCTTCGTCAAAAACTTTGGGCTCAACCTCACAAAAGCCCAACAGACAAATAGAGTAAAGAAGAGAGGAACACTTGATCGTTCTTTTACACCCAGAAGTCGAACAGAGGTGAGAAATAGAGAGCATAGAAGAAATTAAAGAGCAAGAACACAGAGGCACTTTTTAACGTGGTTCACCCAACAATGGCTACGTCCACATTCCGACAATGGTCAACACCACTACCGACAAGCACTTTTATTATTTTGATAAGAGACTCGAAATCACAGCAGTAATAGATGAATAACAGACATAGAACCATAAACCAGAGTTTAACACTAACTATGCCTACAACCACTCTCAAAGATCCTGGACCCCTGGAGATGAAATCCCCTTTTACTTAAGGACAAGCCCTGTACCGAACCTCCAATTAAATTGACAATATATAGCCTCCTTCAATTAGCTGTTGGAAGAAGTATCCGTTGCAGCAGAATTGATTGAGTTTCCCTGAATGAATTTCCTTTCTTAACTGGTCAATTGTCAGCTCTGATCTCGCCCAACAGGATCCATTGTATACAAGCATAGGAGGAGGCAAGGGGTTTAGGCAGTGTTGCAGGACATATGTAAATTTTGGTAAAAAATAAATGGTTAATATATTTATAATATATTCCAATCTTAATTTGTAAATAAATGGTTAACTAATATTTGCAAAAGGTAACTTATATATTTGTATACCCTTGAAAAAGTCATTGTCCAGAAAGTAGCATGACAGACAACCTAAGAATGAGATTTTTTATTAGTGTTATGATAAGTATTGAAAAATTCCCCAAGTCCTAATTAACAATGCCCACGAAAAAGTTTTCAATATCAGTTCATTCTCTCATCATGAGGAAAAATAAGAAATTATTATTATTATTATTATTATTATTAAAAAGATGGCGTACCTAATTTCAAATTCGACTCCAACACTGTCTACAAGGGGGTCGTTGTGGCTAGGAAGTCATCTCCTCAGGGCAGTGGCGGACCTAGAAATTTTTCATAGGGGTGTCCTCTTTTAAAAAATAAATTTAATAAAAATAAAAATAATTAATAAAAATAAAATCGTAAATATGAAAAGACCTTACTCGTACAGGTTAAAAAAGTCCATGATGTGTTTTCATATTCGAAAATAATTGTAGAATACACTTGGTGTTTCGTTAAAAAAAATTCTCTATATACCCTACTAGACAATCATTCAGGAACTTATCGCATATTCGATTTGTAAACTTGTTCTTGATGTAACCCAAAGCTGAAAGACTCTTCAACATTTGTCGTACAATCATAAAATCAATACAAATTAAGGGTAGATTGAAATTAGTTTAGATTGAAATAATTAGAGACAGGGAATGACTTTTTACTATTACACATTGTTCAAAATCGAACACCAAATGAGTTGTAGCTCAACGAAAATTAAGTTTATTAATAATAATAGTGTTCTAGATTTGAATTACCCAACGTACCATTTATATTTTTATACACAAATGACAGTAGGATAATCATTTTTTCAAATTTCAGGGGTGTCCCTCATTATTAATTATATTTTTTTTGTCTATACGTAAATTACAACCGGGGGTTGGATAATCATTTTCCCGAAATTTAGGGGTGTCCAGGGACACCCCTAAAATCCCCTGGGTCCGCCCCTGCCTCAGGGTCAAGAGATGGAGGCGTATTGCCCACGTGCTCTTATCCTATATATCGAGGCGAAATCATGCTCCCAAAAATGGTGTATTATGGAGGAAGTCAGTTAAGTCTCATCTTTTTAGACAAGTCGCCGATAAAATACTTAAATGGTCACCAATGTAACTACCAAATCGACTATTCAAATTAAACAAATCAAATTATTTAAATCCTACAAGTTAAAATGGTTTTCGTGGTAACCACTTAGTTTGAACACCCCTATCCACGGATCAGATGGTGCGGAGTTAATATATTAATAATATATTCCAATATTAATTTGTAAAATAATGGATAACTAATGTGTGCAAAAGGAAACCTATATAATTGTGTACCCTTGAAAAAGTCATTTTTCAAAAAATAGCATGATAGCCAACCTACGAATGAAAATTTTGATTATTGTTCTGATAAGCATTGAAAAATTCCGCAAGTCCTAATTAACAATGCCCACAAAAAAAAAAAATTCAATATCAGTTCATTCTCTCATCATGAGGAAAAATAAGAACCTTTTATTACATTATCATTATTATTAGCCAAATGGATCCTTTTCTGCAATTTCTTAATTCCTTGCCTTTTCCTCTTCCTTTGACTGAAACCATCCATCCAATTCTATTCCACTTTCTTTCACTCACTCATGACTGGCCCATCCCTCTCCTCTCCCTAGAAAAAGAAGAGAAAGGGAAAGAGGGAAGGCTGCTGCTGCTGTCCCTTCTCTTCTGCAAAAATAATCAATTATTATAATATTGCTATTGTAAGAGGCCATCATTATCATTATCATGAATCATGATCACCCCCATTATTCCCATTGACCCCAACAAAGGAACACACCCAAACAAAGCAAGCACATATTTTAGTTCTCATGTCCCTTTCTTTACCAGCATTGCACACCATCCCAGGAATTACAATCAATGAGTGAGTTGGAGAGAGAAACAGCTGAGAGAGAGAGAGAGAGAGAAGCTAGCTAGGTAGCAGCAGGGCCATTGTGTTGTAATAATAATTGTGATGATGATGATAATTGTCCACATGATGGCTATACTGATATTTTTGAAATGGAAAAGCATGACAAAGTCACATTAATTATTGTGTTCGGGCTTGTAGTAGGGAACACAATGATGTTTTGGAGTTGGTTATTAAGAAAGAAGATGGGAAACAAATTAGGGCATTAATTCCATTTTTTCGGCAGAGTTGCATGCTAGCTACTGCTACTGCTAATGCTAATGCTATAGTTGTTGTCCCTATTTTTTCCCCTCCATAATCTATCTCCTCCTAATCTCATCTAGATGTCCTGGGAAGGAGAGCGGATCCGGTGACTAAGGGGGTGCTTAGTCACTTGACTAAGCCCCTCCCAGCTCTTAGATCTGCACACATCAATCTGATGGTTAAAAAGTGAGAATGGCTATTTAATTAATGACAGGGGTAGTTTGGGTATTATGGAAAATTACGAAGTATACAAACCGGACTTAGAATCAGTACAAACCATACAAGCATACGAACAGTACAAACTAGAGCGACAAAACATAACAGATTTACAAACATTACAAACGTATGAACTGTACAAACAATACAAACTAGACCGACAAACAATACAAACCATACAAAAAGAAAAAACACCCGGGTTGACTTTGGAGGCTCCATCCCTATATAGAGGGGCTCCTTCCCAAAGTCAACCCGGGTGTTTTTTAGACATACAAACAGTACGAACATGGTGGACAAAAATGACAAACTATACCTACAATCCATACGAACTGAAAAAACACCCGGGTTGACTTTGGAGGCTCCATCCCTATATAGAGGGGCTCCTTCCCAAAGTCACCCCGGGTGTTTTTTAGACATACAAACAGTACGAACATGGTGGACAAAAATGACAAACTATACCGACAATCCATACGGAGGCTCCATCCGTATATAGAGGGGCTCCTTCCCAAAGTCAACCCGGGTGTTTTTTAGACATAAAAAACATTACAAACATGGTTGACAAAAATGATAAACACGATACACAAAAATAACAAAGTTTACAAACATTACAAAAAAAACCGACAAACATTACAAAATAACAAAGCGTACAAACATTACAAAAAAAACCGACAAACATTACAAAATAACAAAGCGTACAAACATTACAAAATAAACCGACAAACAATACAAAGCATACTAACAGTACAATCTCTCTCGTGAATGATGGCGCACAATAACTCTCAGGAAATTACCCATGGCGCCCAG